GGCTGTGAATCTTCCCCAGGAGACTTGGGCTCATATTGAGAATAAGCCCTTTGATGGAACTGACCTCTTTACTCAAAGACCAATGAGAGACTAGATTCCATTCATAAGACAAGGCTCACAGCTCAACACATGGCTTGGGGACCTACGCAGCAGCGAACTCGTAAGTGGCCATGGGGCCAACAGTTCCAAAGTCGTCTTTTTCCACCTACACAACAGGGCTGCTTTGCTGCACATCAACAATATGGCCAAAGATCGAACCAGCCCCACTGTTCTGAAGCCAATAGGTATCAGCCCCACAAAAGAGGCTTGATACTGAAAACTGTTGACACGGATAGCCAGTGTGCACTAGTGCTCTTTTGTCGTCTCCACCATTCTCTTTTGGGAATCGATTACAACACCATCTCCCCATCTGGGAATTCATTGCATCTGATCGGTCTGTCCTGTCCATTATCAACCAGGGATACCAGATTTAGTTTGAAACCCTGCCTCCTCTCAGAACAGTTCGAAGAATGGCAGCTCTGGTACTCCTTTAAGAGAACAAAACACTGTTATGGAAAGGAGCAATCCAGAGAGTTGACTGATCAGAGAGACAGCAAGCATGGTTTCTATTCAAAATACTTCACTGTACCAAAAAAGGATGGAGGTCATTGTCCCATCCTAGACCTGTGTGGGGTGAACAGATTCATAAAAGCATAGAAGATTGGAATGACTGAATTACAAAATATTCTGCCACTATTGCAAAAAGAGGACTGATTTGCATCACTGGATTTACAAGATGCTTATTTTGATATAAGCAGTCACCCTGCTTACAGATATTTCCTCCAATTCAGATTCGTCACGAGCTGGACTCCACTAATGAATCAGAGGTTTCTGGGGAGACGCCAATGCTGCCGTCTGGTCCAGAATTATTGGATGAATTTCAGTTATTGCGGCCCGATGAGGTAGACAAGGTGCTTGGACGAGTACGTCCCACCACTTGCCTATTGGACCCTTGCCCGTCTTGGTTAATAAATAATTCCAAGCACGGGATTGGGACCTGGATCTTGGAAGTGGTTAACGCTTCTCTGAGGGAGGGTCGGGTGCCTGCCCCTTTAAAGGAGGCGGTAGTCCGACCGGTCCTGAAGAAAGCATCACTGGATCCAGAGATGGCCACTAACTATAGACCAGTGGCCAACATCCCGTTTCTGGGCAAGGTGCTAGAGCGGGTGGTGGCAGGACAACTCCAAGCACTCTTGGATGAAACTGATTATCTGGACCCATTTCAGTCCGGCTTCAGACCCGGGTACGGTACTGAATCTGCCTTGGTCGCCCTGTACAATGACCTGTGCAGGGAGAAGGACAGGGGGAGTGCGTCCCTGTTGGTTCTCCTGGACCTCTCAGCGGCTTTCAATACCATCGACCATGGTATCCTTCTGGATAGGCTAGCGGGATTGGGGGTCGGAGGCACTGCTTTGCAGTGGTTCTGCTCCTATCTCAACGGCTGATTCCAGAAGGTAGTGCTGGGGGACTATGGTTCTGCGCCATGGCAGCTATGCCATGGAGTACCGCAGGGCTCCATTTTGTCCCCTTTGCTGTTTAACATCTATATGAAACCGCTGGGAGAGGTCATCAGGAGGTGTGGGCTGCGGAATCATCAGTACGCTGATGATACCCAGCTCTACCTCTCATTTTCCACTAATCCAGGTGAGGCAGTGGCTGTGCTGAACCAGTGCTCGGCCGAGGTAATGGGCTGGATGAGAGCCAATAAACTGAAGCTCAATCCAGACAAGACGGAGGTCCTGTTGGTTGGCGGATCGGGTTTCGGAGAGGGTGGATTTGACCTGGTCCTGAATGGGGTTGCACTCCCTCTTAGGGACAAGGTCCGCAGCTTAGGAGTACTCCTCGACCCGGAGCTTTCTTTGGAAGCTCAGGTGACAGCGGTGGCGAGGAGCGCCTTCCTTCAGCTTCGGCTGATTAATCAGCTGTGCCCCTACCTGGAGTATGACTGCCTGGCGACAGTGACACACGCGCTGGTGACTTCCCGCCTTGACTTCTGTAATGTGCTTTACGTGGGGCTTCCCTTGAAGATGGTCTGGATACTTCAATTGGTTCAAAATAGAGCTGCCAGGGGACGGGGCGTTATGTTCACATGACTCCAGTCCTCCGACAGCTTCACTGGCTTCCCATTGAAGTCCGGGCCCAATTCAAGGTGTTGGTTATGACCTATAAAGCCCTAAACAGCTTGGGACCTGGTTACCTGAAGGAGCGCTTACATCCATATATGCCTGACCGCCCCTTGAGATCTGCGGGAGATGCCCTTCTCCAGGAACCCTCTGTGAAAGAAATTAGGAGGGTAGGTACTCGGAAGGGGGCTTTCTCTGTGGTGGCACCCAATCTATGGAATGTGCTCCCCAGAGAGGTCCGCCTGGCGCCATCGTTATTTGTTTTTCGGCACCAGGTGAAGACCTTTTTATTTAAACGTCATTTTAATTGTTAACAATATTTACTTATTTATCTGGCCAGGGCGACTTCTTTTCTTTACTTCTTTTCTTTTATAATGTTTCTTTTATAACTTCTTTTATATCTTTTATATTTTTTATTTATTTTATATTATTAATTTTAATTTTATATTGTTATTTTTGTATTGTGTTGTATTGTGTTGTAAGCCGCCCCGAGGCTTCGGCAAGGGGCAGCATAGAAATGTTATAATAATAATAATAATAATAATAATAATAATAATAATAATAATAATAATAATAATAATAATTCCAAGTCAGTATGGAGGTATTTGAATTCAAGGTACTCCCATTTGGGCTTACAACAGCACCAAGAATATTTACAAAATACATGGCACCTGTTTGTGAGCAAGTAAGGCTCCAGGGAGTACAAGTACAATGGGGAAGTGGCCACAACTGAGGAGCAGGTACTCCGGATCCAAAAGAATCTGGACAGACTATGGAAGTGGGCAGGGGACAACAGGATGATGTTCAATGCAGATAAGTGCAATGTCTTGCACTTGAGACATAGGAATGGGTGTCATAAGTACAGGTTAGGTGATAAGTGGAACTCAGGGTGCTGGTTGACTGCAGGCAAAACATGAGTCAGCAGTGTTACTGGTGGTCAAGAGGGCAAACGCCACCCTTAGATGCATAGTCAGAAGTGTGGCTTCTAGATCAAGAGAGGTATTACTGCCACAGTATACGACTGGTGTGCCCTCAGCTGGAATATTGTGTTTAGTTCTGGGTCCCTCTTACAAGTGGGGTATAGCAAGGTTGGAATCAGTGCAATGAAAGGCCACAAGGATGGGGGCTGGTTTGCCGGGTAAGCCATATGAGACAAGACTGAGGGTAGTGGGGCTTTTCAGCCTTGAGAAGAGTTCACTAGTCACTCAGAGGAGACCTGTTAGTGGCATACAGGTATGTGAAGGGATGTCACGCAGAGGTGGATTGTGATCTCTTTTCCCCTGTGGTGGAAGGCAGGAGGCATTCCAACAGAACAATGCTCAGGGAACTAAGATCCAAGGTGGATGCCAGGAAGTATTTCCTGACAGTTAGGACCCCTAGGGCATGGAATGGACTTCCACAGAAGGTGGTTGAAGTCCCATCGGTGAGGGTGTTTAAGGATAGGTTGGACATGCACATGGTAGGCTTGTCATGAGTGGAGCTGGCTGGAGGTGGGGATTGGACTAGATGACCCAGGGGACCCCTTCTGACTCGCTCTGTTTCTATGTTTCTATGTACTCTGTTCAACCAGTTGGGACTGTGCATAAATGACAATACATCATCATTTGTCCCTTCGCAGATAATAGCCTACATAGGAGCTCACTTTGGAGTCCTTGCATGCAAAAGCATACCTCCTACTGGATTGCAAGCAGAACCTGAAGAATTCAAGCCTGAAACTGCAATCCACAGCAACAGCTTTGATCTGAGCAATCCAACAGACTCTGGAATATATAGCATCCACCATATCAGTTGTTCAACATGTGAAGCTACAGATGAGGCCACTGCAATTGTAGATCACTGTTCCAAATATGACCCTCCAAACCAAGTCAAGATCCCTCGCTATGTACTGAAAATGCTCCACTGGTGGTCAACCGATACCAGTCATAAAAAGTTAAATTGATAAAAATGTGTACTGGCCCTTTGTAGTTATTTGTAGTAACTTCAAATAACAGGTAGGGATTCTGGGCATAGAAAACTGCAGCTTATCAGGGAGAAGTATTCTAGGCCTCTGTGGTCAAGGAATATTTAACATGGAGAGGCATCCAAGCATGTTTCTACTTTTGAATCATATGAAATAATAAAAGATCCCAATGTTTACTTTCTAGAGGTATGTTGTCTAAGCATGCTGGCTGTATTGTTCTACCACAGCTCCTGATTTTTCTAATACTTTTGTATAAGATAGACTGATATTTAATATACTTTGCTTTAATTGTGATATGCCATATAAATGTAACCTTGCAAGCTTTGGCCATTAGATATACGGGGCTTTGTTGTGGACAGTACATAAGTATCAACAAACAATGGAATATTTGCTGCTGACTCTGAATGTTCCTCCTTATTTGCAGCTGGGATGGCTAGATGCTGTAATATCAGCTACTAGGACTAATACAGCTGCTTTAGCATTAAATACACAAACCCATTATGGAATACTGCTTTGGAATCAATTATACATAAAAATGATTGTAAACTAGGCAAACTCAACCAATATGTAGCTTAATCTGTACATTAATATAATTGAAAATGGATCAGTATTACTTTTAATTAACTTCACTTAAATGACAGGAGGAACTTACTTTTGCTAAGCAAGCTGAAATATCTAGTGCTGATAAGAAGCCGATTGGCTGTGTGGCATGATTCTGTTTTTTATTTTAAAATGGCACTCTTTTTAGAATAGATTTGATGTTGAAGAACGGATGAATGAACACAAGGGGAAAATGTCTCAGTGTTAGGTTTGATGCAGCATTGGTTTAGATGTTGAGAGAAATCCCATTTCAAATTATTCTGATTACATAGTATTTTTATCCCACCTTTTTCTTTTTGTTAGGAACCCAAGGTTGCTTGCACGGTTCCATTTTATCCCTACAGCAACAATTCTGTGAGGTAAGTTAGGCTGAAAATGAGTGGCCCAAAGGCACTGAGTGAGTATTATGGCTGAGGGGGACTAGAACACAGCTTTCCCAGGCCCCCAGCCCAACACACTGCTCCCCACACCACACTGGCTCTCAAATAACTGCTAAGCAGTAAAGTCAAGCGTGGGTGGCATTGAGCAAGTTCTTCAGCCTTAGGGCTGAAATTTCTGGTGTTAGGGTTGTGCACAAGGGCTGGAAACCCAGATCTTTCATTTGGAGCCCTGAACCCCTGGGATACCACCAGCCCCAGCATCCTTCTGTTCACAGGAACTTGCTAAAATAAAAGTACGGAACCCAGATTATCTGTGTTGTATTGGATACCAGATTAGCCTAAACCTGCATCACCTCCTGTTTGTTCCTGCCCAGGTCTGACTGCCTGGGGGATTTTTTCCTGAAATGAATTACCATCTTCATTCTTTTTTACAAAGAGTGGAGTCCCTTAGGACACAGTATCTTTTAAGCACACACAAATTGACATATACACATTTGTACCTACTTTCCTTTTTTGAGCATAAAAAATGCAGTCCTGAACATAACTCCTCATGGGGCTTGCAAAGAGAACCAAAGCAGGAAGGATGGGAAAGAACTTGCATTTTTATTTTGGTAGTTTACAGCTGGAGGCTTTGCAGACCTTTCTTCTCTTGCTTAGCTTGAACAGGCTTTAACACCACTTTGCTACACTGCCCTCAGTCCTCCTTTGTCAAAGCCTTTTCACTCCTCTGTGCATCTGAGGAAGGTTGCTACACCTTCCAGATGCACTGCAGGGCAACACGGCCTCGGCCTCTAACCAGTTGCTGCCACCAAAAGGAAAACAGCTGCACGTGGCATTTGAAGAGAAGCCATGTCCTCTGACTGTCCTACCATCTCTGTTCAAAGTAAAACTCCCATCTAGGAAAGTTGCCTGAAATGGTGCAGAGATGGAAAAAACCATTCAAAGAAAGTTTTTAAAAAGAGAAGATTCAGAAAGTGCTGCTGTTGAATGTGTGAGCCCCTGTCCAACCTTCGTTTCTTCTTCGTGGTCTTTGTGCATCATACATATGAACTGTGCACCTGCATGGGGCCTGTTGTTGGATAGAGAAAGATTCCTTAGCTAGGCATTTTTTATGGGAGCCCCTACCCCTTCCCCAAATGCTATATAAAGGTGGGGCTCCCAACATTTTCTCCAGTTTGTTTTCGATCACTGCCTTGAATGCCTCAAATTCATTCAACTCCTTATGACTTGGTTCCAAGGGGAGCTAGGGGTTCAGTATATAAGGGGCTCAATATCTTTACCTTCTCACTTCAGAAATACTTCTGTTCCTGTTCTAACCCCTTTCTTATTTTTTTTAAATAAACCCATATACTTTACCTCAGAACTTTCCTATTGTTATCTACCTCTAACTATCATTCTATACACCCCTTTGCCCCCCCCCCCCAAAGGTCCAGGATCCCCTGCAAAGAATTAGGTAGATTCTCTGAGCAGGTCCTCCAGATGGCGATGTCTCTTGGGCTGGAGACCCAACAGCTAACTGAACCACCAATCGATCTAATTTATAATGTCATTCAGGCAGAGGACTCTGTCCCAGTGGCTGTCCTGTTCATGGAAACACTTCTCAATGCAATGGAGGAGTCTTGGAAGACATCAGTTCAATGATGGCCCATGTCCAAATGCTTAGAGAGTCTATACCAGGTTCAGAAGGGGGATATCTCCTTCCTCCTACATCACCCCCATCCAAACTCAGTGATTGTAGAGTCAGCTCAAGGACATTCTCACTGTGAACACTCAATGCCTGTGGACATAGAAACAGAGTGAGTCAGAAGGGTCTCCTGGGCCATCTAGTCTGAACCCCCACTCAGGCTGGCGTCACTCATGACATGCCTACCATGTGCATGTTCAGCCTAGAGAGGAACATTAATTAGACTCCATGGCAAAAGGAATATACCCAGCTTGTGCTTGGGCTGCACATTGCAAACTATGAGCAAATGAGGACTTTACCACAACATCTCCCAGAACAACAATGGGAATTTGCTAGAGTCTTCCAATTGGAAGCCCTGAGACACTCCAAGCAGTGCAACACATTTGGACAGCAATTCAACAGTGTTCATCAGCATCTGGTCTAACTGGTGTTGGAATCTGGAGTGTAACAGGTTAACAAGGGTGTTTTTCAGCAGTTCCCAAGCATTCCTGGGAATGCCCTACCTTGAGATGCCTGCCAGGCATGCACATGTGTTTTCTGTGGCACTTTCCCTCATGGCCAGCCTCTGCTTCTCAAAAATATGTGGTCAGCTTGCCTTTGCGGCTCCAAAAACTACTGCTCACTTGTATTCGCATCACACATTTAGAGCATTTTTATTCTTCTTTCAGCAGTCATTACTTCCCAAAGAATCTTGGAGACCACAGTTTGTCAAGGGTACTGAGTGTCATTAGTGGACACCTGATACACCATTCTGTGAATTGTAGTTCTGCAAGGTAAATAGGTGTTTTCTAGCACCTCTTAGCCCCAGAAATACTTGGGAGAAATAATGGCTGAAGTGGAACTGGAGCCTATCCATTGGAATCAATGCGAAGAATTAGCCATGACTTCTGATAGCCTTACTTCAGTTAGGCTACTTTATGCAAGATTAAGCATGGGTCCAATGAGAGTGCAAGATTATTGAACATTCTAAGAAAACTGGACCCCCTAAACAATGGATTCAGGACTTGTGGAGGATCTCTCACACACATTAGAAAATGATTGCAGAGGCCACAGAAAATTAAAAGTACCCAGACAGTGATTGTCAACCCAGACTACTGTTCTTGGATGAACATAGTGACATACTTTTCTATAAGTATGGATAGCTAGTGCCTGAGTTTCCCTTTTTCCTCTTCCCTCACTGTCCATTTCCCCTTGTATGCCATATTTTTAGATATTAAGCCTGTGGGAAGGAACAGCATTATTAATTAGACATACCACACTCCAGCAAAATTTTGGCTGGAGAGGGGGGCATGACTCTAATTGTTTAAATTGTTGTTGTTTAGTCACAAAGTCATGCCTGATTCTCCACGACGCCATGGACCACAGCATGCCAGGCTCTCCTGTCCTCCACTATCCCCCAAAGTACACCCAACTCCATGCCCTGTGAGGGCCAGGCTGTGGACAGCAGCAGGGAGGGGCAGAATGCGGGGTCCAGGGTGTGGGCTTGAGCAGACTCCAGAACCTTGCTATGGGCCAGAGGCTAGAGGCAAGTTAGACCATGCACACAGTATTTGAGCGTCAGCTTCAGTATCTGACTTTTAAAATCAGGGTTGATTTCCTTTAACATTGTCTGATTTGATTTCTTTGCTGTCCAAGGGACTCTCAGGAGACTTCTCCAACACGACAATTCAAAAGTGTCAATTCTTCAACACTCAGCCTTCCTTATGGTCCAGCTCTCTGGGAAAACCATAGCTTTGGCTATATGAACTTTTGTCAGCAATTCCCATTCCTTAAATCTATTTGTCACCTCCACTGTATATTCAGTATGATTTAGGTCATGCTTGATGTGCCACTTCATTTTTCTTCCTATTTAGTGCAGCTAGGTTGAACGTCCTTCAGCTGTCAGTCAGCATGCCAGCAACCTATCCTGCCACTGGTTTAAAGGATCATTCCCTTTTCCCCAACTGTTTCCAGTGAGACTGCATTTGTTCCCATTGCCTTGCTTTATAAAACTGCCAAATAGCACAACTACAGCTGGGAAATGTGTTTTGCTTTGTTTTGCTGTTAATACAGTTTAAAGTCCCATAAATGTAGATCAGTGCTGATGAAGCAAAAGCTAGGGAGAATACTGCTGAGTGGCGCACACCAGATAAAATATATTCTTCAAAGAAAGTATTAGGAGAAATGTGTGGTCTTTATCCTCTTCCAGTCATTATTCTGGGCTGAAACAGTATCCCTTTGTTTTGGAAAGTCCTACCACAGCTATGAAAAACTTCCAGGATAAGGCCTCAGATCTGACGCTTGGCCCATATTATAAATGCATTGTTAATCAGGGTCTGACCAAGATTGTAAAAGCATGCCAAAAAAGGAAAAAAGATTTGCCTCTTCTTAATTCTGACACTGAATGCCAGATCTATTAAAGGAGCTAATTCATTCTCCTTGGAAATCTGAAGAACAGAAAAAAGCCACAATTCACAATGCACAATGCCTGGACGTTTAGGATATAATGGTGCCCCTAAACAAAAGATTCCAGCTATACATTTCTGACTCAGAAGCTCTACTGTGATTTTTTATAAACGTGTTTAAGAGTGCACTTACGTTCTATTAAAATAAAGGCTATGTTTTTTTTTTAACCACAGATGCATCTGAGGTATGCCAATTCTTTTACTGAATTAGTATGTTAGTTAAGAGAACATCTAACTATTTCTTCTCTACTAGTGTCCAAAATTATGTAACTCAGTGCCAGATTGCAATACTCAACATGCTAGTGATTTTGTTTCCAGCTAGTGATTTCACTGTCACAGTATTCTTATACCCAACCATAGCCCGTGTAAATTCCAACCAGTGCTAAACGGTCATCTAACATTCTGTTTTCTTAATAAATGACATCTTATTTGAGAATTTCTGAATTTAATAATACTGAAAAGCTGTACCCAGAGCTTCAGGTGAGGTGAGTATGATAGGTTTGTTTCAAATTAGAAGAGAAAATTGCATATGTTGAAGTGGAATGGGGTTAGAGTTCCCGTTCCATCCCTTGGTAAGTCTTGTACAATTGTAACCATCCCACTCCTTTCCAATGAAGTTCCATTTTTCTAAAGGCTATTTTCCTTTTATTGTATGCACTTCAGCAACCCCACACTCCCCAGCTGCATCTCAGTAAACCAAAATAGTTTGTGTTGAAGAACAGTCAAAAAGTCTGAGTGAGCATGCCTCCTTTGCAACTGCTCCTTATTCACAACTGAGAGGGTTCCACCATGAAAAATTGCCACCCAATCTTGCTCTAGCCTATCAGTTATGAAACTGCAACACCTGCAGGGCCAAGATGTGTTTAAAAGGACCATTTTAAATGAGAATGGACAGAGGTTTGCAACATTGTACAAGAGCAGATATGAAGGGAACATTTCAAGCAAAGATGGGCATGGTAAAGGACCAAAATGGCAGGGACCTAACAGAAGCAGAGGAGATTAAGAAGAGGTGGCAAGATTACACAGAAGAACTATACAAGAAAGAGCTTAACGTCCCTGATAAGCATGATGGGGTGGTCACTGACCCCGAGCCAGACATCCTGGAAAGTGAAGTCAAATGGGCCTTAGGAAGCCTGAGCAACAACAAAGCCAGTGGAGGTGACAGTATTCCAGCTGAGCTATTCAAAATCCTAAAAGACGATGCAGTAAAAGTGCTACACTCAATATGCCAGCAAGTTTGGAAAACTCAACAGGGGCCACAGGATTGGAAAAGGTCAGTTTACATTCCCATCCCAAAGAAGGACAATGTCAAAGAATGTTCAAACTACCGCACCATTGCACTCACTTCACACGCTAGCAAAGTTATGCTCAAAATCCTACAAGCTAGGTTCCAGCACTATGTAGACGGTGAACTACCAGAAGTACAGGCAGGATTTCGAAGAGGGAGAAGAACTAGACATCAAATTGCCAACATACGCTGGATAATGGAGAAAGCTAGGGAGTTCCAGAAAAAAAATCTACTTCTGCTTCATTGAAAAAATCTACTTCTGCTTCATTGAAAAAAATCTACTTCTGCCTTTGATTGTGTGGATTACAACA